GTATTGTAAAGAGCCTTGTTTTTAAAATCAACAAATTTTGGAGTTTTTGGGAACAAACCTTTTCACCCGAGAGAGAGTCGTACAGACAGATACCCAGAGGAGTTAAGAATCACGAAGGAAAGGTTCCAATTAGGATAGATTTCAGCTTCTGAAATAGATCAAGAATAAAGGTTTTTTTGAGAGGGGAAAATTCATTGGAACCTGAGGTATGGATTTTCATTGTAACTGATCAATGGTACTGTTGCATTTCTATTACACTAGATAGACAATTTGTTTGGAATGTTGGATCACTTCTATGCAAAGTTTGACAAGGCGTACTATTCTGGGCTGTGTAAAGCTGTAGCAGTTGGTGAGGATATTTATATCATGGGGAAGATGTGTTTCGAAGAGTTTGTGAAAATCATTTCGAGGAAACTTTCAATTCATTCCGGCACGGGGATTAAACCTTGGCTCACTTTAGCGGTTTTGTATTCGTTTACGTGATACCGTCAGAAAATATTGGACGATTGCTGAAAAAGAGCGAGAATTGGTTTGGCATATCTTTTAAATAGCCTGGACAACTAACAAAATAAAGGCTTTTTCAAGGTAGTTAGAGTGATGGTTTGTATATTAAGCTCATGTATAATTAGCTTGTTTTTGATGGAGTTTAAGGCTTTAAAAACTGATAACTCGTGGAATATTTTCGCTATGAAGTTGCAGTATATTAGAGTTCTGTTTGTGAATAAAATGCCATAACACTGAAGACTTGCTAGGGTAGTTTCAGATGATATGAGCTTGCCAAATCTTTTTATTACAGTAAACTGATTGTTAATTTTTAACTTACGGAGGACACATGTTGTTCTGTAAGCCCTTTATCAGTGGTAATGCCGAAGAGATCTATTGATTCTTCACCAGTTACGCGGCCCTTTTGACGCGCTTATAGATCTCCAACCAATTTTTACGGTAGTCTCTCAGATATCGTGACCACAATGAAACATTTTGTACTTTTCTAACAATTTCTCTTATCCCACATGTTCTTTTCTTTGGATGTGTGATACAGGTGCATTAGAAGATAAAGACCCTCTGTGTCAGCATCTGTTCTTCTTAGCTGGCGAACTTTTAGGTAGACATGTGAAAGCTGTTATTCAGCACATGGATCAGGTAACTTATTTTTTCGTTGAACATTCGTGGTACCTGCCTGGTTAATTTGGTAGTACACCACCTAAAATCGAGAGGATAGAAAATCAGATCTTGTTTAAGCCTTTTCTTGTGTCAGTGGTTCCTCGGCCGGTTCAAACATCTTCGCATGTTTGAAAGTCGTAATGGTTAGGTCTTGCTTGGTAGAATGCTTTCAGGCCGTCAGAACCAAGTTGTCTCTCAGGGTAAAAAACAACCACATTAAGCAATGACTCATGATGTTTTAAAAACGATAACTTTATTGAAAAATCTCAAAATAAAATTTAAAATCAATAGGATACCCTTAATTTAATAAGCTTTGCGTTCGAACAATTCTGTTTTCCTTTTCCATGCTTTTGTTTCCTTTTACAGATTTCTGCGAAAATTTTGGTGTTATATACTTATTATGCGTCATAAAGGTTGTTTCTTATCTCTTTGTAAGTAATTTTGAGCGGGAAATTGACGCACGGCCGGCAAACACTTATCTGCTTGCGCATGCTCAACATTTCACCGCTGAGCTGATTGACGTTTCTTTTTATATCACTGTGGCATCAATTTTGGTCGCTATGCTCCTCCTCAACGAGCCAAAAGAGGTTTATGATATACTGAGAGTTCACATAAAGATTAGCGAATGTTTCATTTCATTCATAGGAATGTCAAGAAACTCTTTTAAGAAGTAGCAAGGGGCTTCAAATCATTTGTGTTGGTGCTGTCTGGCAAAGCTGGAATCTTCTTAAAGATGGTGAGAATAAAAGTCCATAAGTACATTTTAACCCTCTGTCTCCTTAGATTCATCAGAACTTTATCTCTCCCAAATATTTTGGTACATTGTCAAAGAGAAACTGAACTAGAATTCAGAAGAATTTTCAAATAGGATATTTTTTTCGGATTCAACAGCAGATTCCGAGAACCAGCAAACCGTGCTTAAGAATGCACTGTTGTGGATTAAATTTCCAAGAGTTTTTAGAGAGAGGTTATTAAATAGATATGTGAAGTTTGAGTGGCCTTTTGATAAACCATTTCGGGAGTTTATGGTCTTCAAATTTAAAAGGAACAATACTGAATTGAACAAATTTGTTGGAAGGGTTGCCGTTAGTCAGAGGAGGCAATTCAATGTGGCGTCAGTTCATTTTCGGCCCAGTCGCTATCATTGTTTCTTTCAAAATGGCTGTTAGCTTTATTTGTTCAAGATACGTTGACAAAAAGAAGTAATGAAATGAAAACAGTCGCTTCCTTCAGCTGCGACTGAAATTAAACGGTAGCTAGTAACTCTGTGGTCGAAGTGGTACTTACTGAAAAATTTCGCGTCATAATAACAATGCATTTCATATTATCGAGGAAACGATCTATGTTTTTAGGACGAGATCCCGCCATACCAACAAGCCCTCCATTGAATGCATTCTTATTGATCACGTGGGGGATTTATGCAAAGAACGACCCTTACGAAATGGAGCTGGATCGCTCCAAGAAAATGGAGTTATCCATGATGATACAAAATTTTCTTTAACTCAGAATTTGTATGCGATTTCTATCCTTTATCTTCCTCTGTAGGCTTTTTAACTGGCATCAGTTGCTCTCCAAGCAACACCGCTGTCCAAGTGAAACGCTTCTCACTGGTAAAGCTCCGCGAGAGTTCTGCTATTGGTGCGGCTGCGCTAGGCGCGAAAACCGCTGGCTATACTCTTCCCATAGATTATGACTCCATGGTAGAAGAATTCTTTAGCCACGAATTTTAATACTCAGAGGTTCTAAGTAGATTACTCTTAAAAATCAAAATACCATGATAGCTAGGGAATTTATCACTGAGATGAAGTGACACTGATATAAAGTAGTTAGATCAGCACTATTAGAACTATCATTTGAGAGCATCATCGATCTAGTGGTTTCTAACTGAATAGCCAAACAGAAACCTTTGGAAGTATATAACCGATTATAGCAAACGGAAAGATCAATCTGGACTCGTAGGTCTGTGCACGTGATTAGTGTAAATCGCGGGAAAATGTGTGCTGCTGTTTGTGTGGTTTCTGTTGTCAAAGAAAATGTCAGGGAATGCTTTGAAAGATTTCTCTGAGTACTGAGTATGGAAAAGACATAATTACAGGTGGTTCCGTCATGTTTTCCTGCGTATGCCGGTCCATGTGCCTGTATTCCCAGCGTCAGCTAAAAGCCATTCAGGCAAGCTAAACGTGTTGGATTTTTGCTTCCGGTAAAGCGCAACAGTGGCTATTCTCCTTTCAGTTCTTTTCCATAGGCAGTAGTCAGTTTTCTAAGCTTTCTCATACATTCTCTCAGAAGAACGAACACGCAAATTTAGACAACTTGTGGGCCGCCGCTAATGGCGCGAGAGTAAAAAAAAACGGATCATATAGCGGGTTCCGTAGTTAATTTTTTTCTTAGCAACAAATATCGTAATATATACCCTTACTGGATCGGTTATTAGGCATACACGAAGAAAATGATTTGTTCAGAGTTTGAATTATGTTCATCTCTTCATTGGAAGGTGATAAAAGTTGTTGAAAAGGAATGTTCTGAATGTTGCTCTGCTTTTTGAGACCAGCCCACTCTTTGTGACTTTCCGAGCAGGGTAACTGCATATGATTAGCTCTAAACTATCCATTGTTGATCTTCGAAATTTCAAATTGGTGAAAAACATTTGTTGCACAAGTCTGCTTCGAAGAGCGTCAAATGTGCTGTACAAAATTGTTGCCTATAAGAAATATTCAAATAGCGTGATTGAAAAAAAAAAACTTCGCAGATAATTCCTCCCGCAGTTATTTTCCGAAAAGCTTTTAGTTATAAGTTATTATCCGCCGTAATCCTTGCAGAGGCAAAACTTTCGTAAATCTGGTCTCTTCTCAAGAATGCACCGTGGTTGTTCGCCATACAAGTTTATCCTGCTTATGTCGCCGGTTACTCGATATTTACCGTCCAGCACATTCACTGATGCTTCGTATAACCCGTTTCCTGGGGCAGTCTGTATCTGTACTTGATATAAGCATTCATTAACTGGGACATCTCTTGAGAATATTGGCTTTCTTCCGTGCACGTCGTTGGAACCAAGGAATTGGGCGACTTTAATATTTGGAAGTTTTTGATAAGCTGATGAAACTTTGTCTATTTCCAGACGCGAACATAGGCTTAAACTTAAAGGATCAGACGCCGTTAAGTTGTTCACGTGATCAACGACCGCCTGAGCTGCACGTTGCACGTGCATTGCACGCGTGTCGATCTCTTTCCACTGAATACATGGACAGTAATGTTCGGCGACTCCAGCCTTTTCGCAGTTACGTGATTGATTAATAGTGGTGAGCAAGCTCTCTCCCCTTGTTAAGTTAGCCGGAGCCTGGGGATAGCTAAGGACGTGTTTAAAGGTGGCATATAAATCGAAAGGTGACGTTACAATGTCAGTATTTTCTTTCAAGTTGTGGATCAATTCAGGATACTGCTGAAGAAACCAACGTGGAAATGTCAAAGACATAATCGGAAGGCGTTCTTCCAGCTTGCCCTGAAATGTAGCCCTTGTGTCGCCGTATCGAAAGCCATGATCTGACATCACAACCAGCAAAGTGTCGTTTAACAAGTTCTCTTCAGATAAATCCCTTAACAAGGCCGAGAAATCATCAGCGCAGTGATAAATAGATTTCAAATTATTGTGTGAAATGTCAGTGAGGAAAAACAAACCAAACTTGGGCCGCCCTCTGTAGGCCTCGAGGAAAGACTTCATGTAATCAAAATGAATCTTGTGTTGTTTTTTACTGTGGATACAATGCGCCGATGTCAGGTGAGCTGCTTCCCAAAAGAAACGTGAGAAATGATCGGTAGGTGGCTCTGTGAAGCCATGAAGTCGATAGTTAAACGCTCCGTACGCCGGGCAGTCCTCACTGAACAATGTTGCGTAACCCTTTTCTTTGAATTCCTTAAATATATGTGGCCAGCGGTCTAGAGATGCAGTATCCGGGAACTGCCGTCGAGCTTCAGGAAGCTCTGATTCAAATTTACCTACAGTGGAGGCAACATGATGCGTTGAGTTAAAGTCAGCGGTATATAAGAATGATTGTAATCATAACTGAAAATTTTCGGACGTGATTGATCGGCTAATATTATTCGGAGCAAAAATTCGGTTAAAATTATCTCTTGCCTGTTTGAACCCGTTTTGTCTTCGTACCTGTCATGAGCGCTGTTAGCGCAGGAGTGGTTCCATCACCGACGACAGAGTAACCTTTGAGAAACAATGAGTTGAGCTCCTCAGACATAAACTTGTATGCCTCAGGTAGAGCCCTTTGGAAGTGAGCTGCGGACAATGAATCAAATCCTATTACGACGACGCTTAGCGGGAGGCCTTCTTTGCTGTTAGCCTGTGTCAAGGACCTGGGGATGACTTGAGCGTGGTATTCCACGTGTTTTTTGCCATCTGCAGTGCTAAGCTGAACTCGGACGAATTCCGAGCCCAGTTGGAACTTTGTTTCATGTGTTTGAAGATGAACCGCATCTCCCGATACGAATCCCCAGTCTTTGTGATCAGGGCGTAGAATGGGTTGATAGGTAATTGCTGTGATGTTATCGACTGCAAAAGCAAGAACTTCCATCAGTCAGCCCTAAAACAATACATTTAGCATATTTATTTCGGATATCTTTCAATTGTGTTGTAAGCTTAAAACTTAGTAAGAACGGGTCCGTCAACTCTTTCCTAAACCTGTGACCTTGTTTTCAACAAGGAGAATTGCCTCTCTTTCTGAGTCCATCGCACGTTCCCTGCAACTCTTCCTAAAATTTCTTCATTTTAAGTTTGGTAATACCATTTATACTTCGGTAGAAGTGAGAGGAAAGGCGCTGCGAGTGAAATGACTTAGCAGAGAACTCAAGACAGTTGTGAAGACAGGGCTCAAACATCGATCTCTTGATCTGGAGTCAGGGTCTCTCTATCTCTCTTTGATGCCCTGAGAGGGCAAGAGAGGGCGAGAGATCTTGAGAGCGAACCTGGAGCTAGATTGCAGTGCACCAACTACCTCCACTTGGCTGCGCCTCCTTACCTTTACTGATTTCCTCCGTAAGTTCCAAGACTCCTCCCTCGTAGCGTGTCAGCTGGAAGCCTGGGCACTGAACCGGGGTTGGTCGGGAGATAAGCTGTATTATACTTTCGTCATTTGGGTCAAGCTCTGGCAAGCGGCATCCGTCAGAAAAAGACTGGAACTGATCCAACGGTACAGCACAGCTGCCATGTTGCAAAGTTTTATTACTTTGCGCGAAGTCACTCTTTACATAGAGGTCATGTTCAGTTGAAAACACTAATTTATCCGTCAACTTGCCTTTTAGGATGAATTTACCAGATTTCAAAGAATAAACGAAGCCTTTGCAACGGGAACCATATTTGTTGCAAACGATTTTCGCTTGTTCGGGGCTTTCAACTCGAAAACCTTGACAACTTTCATTTGCTTCACATTTCATGTCCCCACCTGGCATTTCCATTTTTTTCTCCTGAGTAAATAATTCAGATGAGATATTAGCCGGGATCATCGCTTAGCAGAGAAGATGGAGGACTTATGGAAATGACAGTGCAGGTTAAAGGAAAGTAACAAGGGGGAAGGGGATGGGAAGAGGAGACGGAGCCGACGGGTTAAAGAAATAAATTCAAAAGCCGCAATCTAAAACGAATGATGTGACATTGTCTTTTTCGATAATAAGAACACTTTTCTACAGCGAATGTGGAGTAAAAATTTGAGCTTTGAGGAACAAGCGTCACCCGAAAAAAACATGAAAGTAAGTTCACGGAAGTGCAATGAAGATACTTCTAAGTACGTTCTTTTCAATTTGTCCCATGAAAAGAGGGGGTTTGGCAGAACTTTTGTGAGACTTCAAGGAAAGAATCTAAAACAAATGTTAAACAATTTTTGTTTATCTTTAGACTGAATTACCTGAGTATATGAGCCTTCCTCTTCAGGTTCCACGTTAGTTTGTAATGACGGGTTTGCCATTGTCAACTCCGTTGGTATGACGTTATTGTTCTGACTCTGCGTCAAATGACTCCTCACTGTCTCAGCAGTTGTCTCCTCCGTTGGTTTAACGTCATCGTCCTGACTCTGCGCTGCATGACCCTTCATTGGCTCTGTAGTTGTCTCCTCGGCTGGTTTAACGTCATCGTTCTGATTCTGCACTGCATGACTCCTTATGGGCTCTGTTGTTGTCTCCCCGAAG